CGGGCTTTCTCCCCCCATATCGAGCCCTATCCCCCCCCCCCCCCGGGCTCCCTCGTTTCCCATCAACCCCAGGGAGTGGGGCCCGAAGGGGACCTACTTTCCTCCCCCCCCCCCCCCCCCTCGCAATATACAGGTTCACAGGTCGCAAAATCGTCAGGTAATCGTCCTCCCCGAGCCAGTACTGGCCGGGTTCTATCACAAAGCGAACAATCTACTCCTTCACGTCCTCTCCCTTCTAAATGCGACCTCTGTACCAAGCGACACGCGATTACCTACATGTGTGCAGCAAAAAAAGCTGTGGCCGTGAGAGAACAAGAGTTATTAGCTCGATTTCAAGCAGAGAGAGAAGGAAATGCAGAAAGGATGGTGGAGAGGCCTCCTGTGATGATGACACAGCCTGTGATAGAGAGTACTGCTCCTGTGATCGCGAGGACGGCCTCAGAGAGGATGGGGACAGGCCTGCAGGTACGCACTCCATTGAAATCTGTCCTACCACTTCTCCTGGTCCACAGGTCAAAGTTCCTGGCTGATTTATGCAGATAATACCTCAACATTATCCTTATCCCTTCCACCCTTCTCCCCACTTCGTCCCAGGAGCCCCTGGGCCATCTAATTGGTACCAGAGGCCATCTACGTACCCTCCTGTGTCGAATTATTCGAATTTTCCACCTACCTTTTATCCACCTGTGTACCTGCCTCCGTATGTTCAAGAGGGGCTCGGAAATGGCTCAAACTCCGCAGAAAGGAGTGTCCTAGCAGCCAGGAACGGTGGTATGAGACAGGAATTCCCCCCTGGGGAGTATAGGCGAGGACAACAGGATTCCACCGGTGGACAGGGGGGTGGAAGGTAGATCGATGTATCTCGGTCAGTTCTTCAGATTCCAGTCTGAAATCTTTACTGACCGATAGAGGAGGAAGTGCTTTACATGTCTATCCAAAAACCTAGTTGATTATATGCAGATATCATGGACTTTTAAATTATCACGGTTTACTCACTTTGACCAGAGGACAGAGAGGTTGGAAGGGAGGTTCCTGCAGGTCACGTGGTCTGCACGCCTAACAAGAAAAAGATGCATGCCTAACAAGATCACGTGACAGTGTCGTGCGTGAAGAGATCTGATGTCGTGCGCGAAGTTTGGTTCTATTCGTAGTGGTTTGTATAGCGCGCCAGAGGAAGGGTGACGCGCAACACGGTCCATCGGCGATCGCCGCTTCAGGTTGAACCACTGCGACATACTTTTGATTTCAGATTGTCCCAAACTACTACATATCTTAACGATGGAACATGTCTTCCCCAACATCGTCATCATCTCTGCAGTCTCAAGATGATAAAGTGGACAAGGTTGTGGTGTTGTACGCTTCGGAAACGGGGAATTCTCAAGATACCGCCGAAAGAGTCGGGAGAGAGGTTAGACGGTTAGGTGGACGATGTGCTGTCATCTCCATGGACATGTTCGATGTTGTAAGTTGTCACTTTGCTCACTTACTCTTGTTGGACCTTCTCTTATCTCCTTCTCGACCTCACCATAGCTTTCCGGGTTTATCTCGGAAAATACAAACGAGATATACAGTTGAAAAAATAGAGAGGTGATACAGATGAGATATACATAAACTGACATCCAGTTCCAACTCCCTACCACACCTTTGATCATCTTCATCACATCAACTCATGGTCGGGGTGATCCTCCACCGGCAATGTTACCACTTTGGACAGCTTTACTCAGAACATCATTACCACGTGATATCCTTGAAGATGTTCATTTTGCTCTGTTCGGACTTGGAGATTCAAGTTATGAGAAGTTTTGTTATGCTGGAAAAATGTTGTTGAGACGGCTAGAAGGGTTAGGGGCGAATAGGATTAGTGAACCTGCTTGGGGGGATGAAAGAGCTCCTGATGGGTGTGTTGGTTTCTTTCTTTCTTTTTGTTTATACTTCTCTTACCCTACCTCATCTTCGTCCCTCTCCCACCTTAACATGTTCACACTTGAACGGTTTTGTATACTTCACCTCAATGAGCCATGACAGTCGTACTGTCGTACTGAAGTTTTACACAATGCTGATATAATAGGATCGAACAAGCTTTTCAACCTTGGCTCAAAGGTACACTGGAAGCTATCTTACCTCATCTTCAACTTCAACCTGATCACCGAGTTCAAGACATTCATTCTCTTCCTCCTCCACTGTACATCCTCGAACCTGCATTAAGCGCCCGTATGTCGAATCTCGACTTGAACTCTGACCAACACTCAACTCAATCTCAGCAACAACCTCCATCTTCACACTCCCACTCTAAAGCGGTGAATGGGCACGTCGCAGGTCCTGTACGGGAAATCGACAGTAATGGGGTAAAGAGCAGATCCAAGTCAGTCGGTGAGGAGGAAATTTGGAAACCACCAGGATGGTTCTGGGCAAAGTTGACGAAAAACACAAAAGTGACTAAGGAAGGTTGGTGGCAGGATGTCAGAGAAATCGAATTTGACTTGGAAGACTCTTTGTGAGTGATCATCAACTACAAATTAGTGAGAAGAGGACTGATGGGTAGTGAAGGGTATGAACCAGGATCGATATGTTGTTTACAACCTCAAACAAGTACTCAAGAAGTGGAAGAATTCTTGGAGATGATGGATCTGAAGGATCAAGCGGATGATCCTGTTGTCATTCGAGCATTGGCAGATGGTACCTCTTTGAATTTACTTGTCATCCCTTCTTCAGAAGCATGACCCTCCGAAAATTGAAGAAATTCTGGGGAACGATTGAATTGAAAAGAGAAAATTGAGATATGCTAATATCAGATCAACCATTACCATCTCATTTACCACCCAAAAATCAAATAACGACCCTTCGATCAATTTTGACGAATCACCTGGACATACGATGTTCTCCTAGAAGATCTTTCTTCGAATGGTTACGTCGTTTATCTCCCGATGAGAGAGAACAAGAAAGATTAGATGATTTCCTTTTGGATCCTGTATGTTTTATCATTCGTCATAAATTCCTTCTCGATTCCAAAGATTTCGATATACTTTATTTTCTGCGACAGACCTCCTTCTACAACTCCGAGACTTTTTTACGCTTCTCTCCTGACATTCTCGTCTTCTCAAGATCAACCCTGGTAATCTCTTTCATGACATCCGAATCATTCCATCCAGTGGCTTCCCCGCGACAAAAGTGTCCCTCCCATTGAACAGTGATCTTCCCCTTGAACCACGCCTTCACACGTACTCTCCAAAAGCTCAAGCCATGCTGATCAAACAGGACGAAATCCATACGTACGCTACCCGACCTTCACGGACGATATTAGAAACTCTTGCAGATTTCAGAGAAACAAAAATACCTTTAAGTCATCTGTTGGAGATAATACCTCCATTACGTAGAAGACAATTTTCTATCGCTTCTTCTTGGGAGGTAAGTCATCGTAGTACCTCCCCAACACTATCTGCACATTGTTTCATCCTCATACTTATCAATTCCCTCCTCATGATGGTTGCTTGTGGTGTTTTCCATGGCCTGTTGGTATTGAGATACTCATTCCTTACGATCTGTTAAGTGCTGTGCATCTTGCTAATCTTCAGACACATCCGGGAAAAGTGCAACTCCTGATCGCTTTGGTGGAATATCGTACAAATCTTAAAATACCCCGTAGAGGATTATGTTCTTCCTGGTTGAAATCACTTCCTCTCAGTCAGTGTTCTACCTCAACCACCACCACCACCACCACCACCACCATCACCACCTCCTCCACCTCCTCCACCTCCTCCCAATCTTCCCCCGTCCCTTGAACGTACCTCTGTCCCTAACCTACAAATCATCCTCCCAGGCATACATTGTGCAAGCAACCGTACATCGGTACATCGTTCAAGCTGGTTGATCTTATCAACCAACGTCGATCAATTGGTATCATCTTATCCCTCGTCGTATTTGGATCAATGCGAGGAATGGGATCGACTCAATGAAAAAATTAGAAACTGATGATAGACACTCGTATCCCTATAAAAATCACCCCTCCTACTCTTCACTTGCCAGAACCTGACGTACCTGTCATACTCGTCGGTCCAGGGACTGGTGTTGCTCCCATGAGAGCTTTATTGGAATGTAGAGTGCGTCAAGGGGCTTTGAAAAGTGTGTATAAGCCTCATCATCATTTTACTTTGATGTCATCCCCTTCACGTCCATCACCACCGGTTGTCCAAGACGATACTAAGACATCATCCAACATTTCTTTTACCAGACTGGTCGGAGTTCTTCATTGATCGATCGATACTAACTTCAGATACCGCACTTTACTTTGGATGTAGATCTTCCTCTGCCGATTTATACTACGAAGAAGAATGGAAACATTATCAATCGCTAGGAGTTCATATACGTATAGCCATCAGTAGAGACGGTCCTTCGAAAGTATATGTACAAGATTTGATCCGACAAGATTCAAAGATGATCAATGATTGGGTGGTTGGTCAACAAGGTCATTTATATATCTGCGGGTGAGTCTTCTACCGTGTATGTGATGGGGTGAGAATGGAGCTAATGAGTAGATCATCGAACGCTATGCCTAGAGAAGTGAGGGAAGCTGTATCATGGAGTATCAGCGTAAAGGGTAGTGGGGATATGTCTTTGGAAGAATGTGATAAATATGTAGAAGAGATGTTTGAGAGTGGTAGAGGTCAAGAAGAGAGTTGGTGATGCATCATTTGTGGACATTGTTTCTCTCATCTCTCCCTCTTGTTCGGCTCTCTCTCCTTCTCCACACATCCATAACCAACCTCCTCCTTACAGTAATTGACCATTGTCACTCATAATCGTATAAGACTCGTTCATCACATCTACACCCTCTCGTCACATCCACACATACACATCCACCCACCATCCCAACCTCACTTTTCTCAAATCCGATTTGTATTCGACACATGGTTTGACCATCGAGTCATTGAGAAACATGACTGACTGACGTCACTTCCTTTGTTCCGTATTCCCAACATCCCACCCCATAGGTCATCGGTCACATCGGAAAACATACAATTTACCTCATGTTTCTCTTTCCATTCACACATAACTCTTCTTTTCTTACAACCCATCCATCATCCACATCTACAAGCAATAAGCAGTCAACGGGAGTGCACAAGTGAAACATAGAGATTCTTAGGTAATGCCATCATCCATATTCAACCGATTCAAAAGATCCCCTTCATCTTCATCTACCGCCACCCGTACACCGGAAAACAACACTACGACTGCAACTCATTCGCCGCAAGACCGAGATAGAAGTAATTCATTATCTTCAGATTCTTCTTTACCTTCTTCTTTAACTTTAAGAAATTCTTTGAGTGATACCAAACTCTCGTTTGGAGCTGTGGGAAATATAGAATTGGATTCTAGTTCAACACAAGTTTCTTCATCTTCTTTAAAAGATTCGAATTCATTCAACATTGGAAAAGATATCAATAAGGAGAACCAAGATATAGAGAGACTTAAAGATCCAAACTTTCCCATACATAACGATTTCGACCCTAATCAACATCCTCAGGAAAGTTCAGAATTATCCATCATCTCACCACGTACACCTAACAACAATACAAAAGGACGTGACTCCAGCGTGTTGAAAGAAGAAAGAGAAACACCAGAATCGAATAGAGGAAGAAGGATTTCTAATTCCAACACCACATTAGATTCTTTACGAAATAAAAGTAGAAAAGCTTTAGAAGCTTTATCACCTAGTAAAAGAGTTCAAGAGGTTATTCAAGGTGATTCTGATAAAAAGGAAAGAAGGTTATCTTTAAGTTCAAAGATTGGTAGATTTTCAATAGATTCAAGGGATAGAAGATTATCTGTAGAATCGAGATTGAGTAGACCTTCTGTTGATCTGACAGACGTTAGTGAGGATTGGCAAGTTCCCAAGAACGATAAGGAAGGACAAAGTGAAAGTGTGGAGAGATTAAGAGAAAGGGAAATAGAAGAAAGAGGTAGGGAAAAAGAAAGTCGAAGAGGAAAACGTTTAGAAACTATATCAACACCGAAATTACAATTATCAAGTCCAAACAAATTGAAAGGAACACCTAAATTGGTTTTGACTGAAGAAGGTAGTTTAACACCGAGAAGTGTAGGGGATAGTCCTTCTTTTTCTCCAACCAGTCCGGTCGGTTTAGGGTGGTCACAATCTGAGGTGGGTGATTCTCTTTCCTTCATACTGTATTCTCTCTTTCACGTGTGTCCAGTTCCCTCTTCACTCCTTGCCTTTCTCTTGTGATCAGTCCCACTCTTTTCATCTGAGCGTTTGGTAGGAAGGTGGAAGGGACAAGTTGGACGGCGGAGCCTTCCCTCGCTGGACATCTCATTTAGATTCCGAGCACTGGCCCATTTGGTTCTCCATCACCATCAAATCATCAACAACAAACGTCATATAAAACTTGAACTAACCAACACAGGTATATCTCGATTCACCTACCACACCACATCCTCTAACTTTCTCCTCTCAACCAACCTCATCGACTAAGATCAAAATGACTCCATCCCTTTCAACTCCCGTCACACCAGACATACTTTCCTTAGCACCAACAATGAATCGCACAGACTCTTCACAATCCATCAAACATCTTCGAGAAGGTCGTTCTTCAACACTTTCAACAGGTCATAATCGTAGTAGATCAGGTAGTTTAGTAACTCGACTTTCAGGGAAAGCTTCTCCTATCATTCAACCTCAACTTCAAAACCAAAATCTTCATCATAACAATAATCTTCAATTACCGAATAATAGAAGAGGTAGTGGAAGTAAAAAGAATAAAAAAGATAGACGTATGTCTAACGCATCAACAAATATCCCACAAAGTGTCGCTGCAGCATTAGCTAAAAGTGGTTTACATCTTGCTAATGCTAATAACGCCCATGAAGAGTTATTATCCGCGAAATCTCAAAAAGGAACTGGTAGAAGTCCTTATTTGACTGGAAGGACGGAAGATGATGAAGATAGTGAATTAGGTTCTGAATATGATGATGAAAGTGAAGGATTAAGTGAAGGTGTTGATGAACATTTACCTGTTACTGGTTTTGCTGTGGCTAGTAGTAGAAGGAATGGTGAATTTCATGCTACTTTTCCAAAGATTGATGAAGGGGATTATCTTATTGATGGTGAGTTGGAATTCGATTTCATCCTTTCCTAATACTCATATCATCTTATCACTTTGCCTTGTCTCTTTGTGTGCTTTCACTACTATTCTTGATCATCCGAAATCTCTGCCATCTTACTTCTTCATCCGAATTCTTTCCAGTCACCTTGAATGGCGTCTCTCGACCCTGTCAATCGTCATTCATCCCCTGTCGCTGTTGCTCGGGAGGATACGACGAAGGGCCTTTAATATCACTTTCACCTTAAGTGGTCGATCTTTCGATTCTCATCGTCACACACCATCTCGTCCGTCGTCAGATTCCCACGCATGTTGGTTGATACCACTCTTTGTCCTCGATTCATCATCTCGTACTGACACACGGACCCACACGTTTCTAAGAGACAGAAGGACACTATGGCAGTAGGGTAAATATTAATGATCCAGATTACGGTTGTGCACTCAACAAAGATATCTTAGTTCAAGGTAGATTGTTCATCTCGGAGAATCATATATCATTCCATTCCAATATATTAGGTTGGACCACAAACGTAAGTCTTTTCGTTCCTTTACTTTCCTATCCTTTCTTCAGATTATACCATATCTTACTTTTATGGTATCCCTTGTAATCTCCTTTTTATCGGATTATCCGACAACCTATATGACATACAAACTTCTCCACTGCATCATTATATAAACACCCAACCCTCATATCTCACTCTTGAAGTGGTCCCTTATATCGATCGGGATAGCCGATATCTCCTCTTTCAAACCTGTCATCCTTACTGTAAACTCACGCTGATTCCAGCTCGTCATCGCTTTCCTCGACATCAAACGCATAGAAAAGAAAATGACAGCTTTGGTAATCCCAAACGCTATCGGCATCACAACGACAGAAGGAAAAACCTACGTCTTTGCTTCTTTCTTATCACGAGATTCCGTTTTCGACGTAATGATGAACATTTGGCGTCTTTGTAATCCAAGTATGACCATGTCATCAATCTCACTGCATGTGGCAGCTTCACCAGGAGGATCAATAGCTGGTGATACTGTTGAAACCGGACAAACGGAAGAGACGGAGGATATAGTATTGGATAAACCTAAAAAAGGTCACGCGAAGACTGTTTGTGCTTGTGGGAAAGAAGGAAGACATTATTCCGAAGTAGCTCTGGAAACGACTTTTCCAAGTTCTCCTGAAAAAATATATAATTTGATGTTTACCAGTGAATGGTATAAAGGCTTTTTATCGGATGTGGAGAAATTGAAAGGTGAGTCAAGTGTCTTTTGTTTCAATATCTAGTTTTTTCTGCTTGACTTGTCCTCCCCTCTTTCTTCCAGTTTATTTCCATTTTAACATCGATGTGCTCACTCCTCTACTCTCCTCATTGCTCACTCCTCAATCATGCACGTCACTTGCGATGGACTTCAAGTCTGATCTGGAGCACCGTCCTCTTCCTTACGTCGCCAGCTCTACCAAACCACACGTCGCCTGTTCCGCGGTCTGCAGAAGATTTGGACAACATTTGAATACTAGTCATGTGGGAAGAGTCGTAACAAAGAGAAAATAACCTCGAGAGTTGGACAAAGAAAGAAGCTGTAGGGGAGGTGGAGACAAGAAAATCGAAGCTGACCAATTACAGATATAGAAACATCAGATTGGAGACCTAAATCCCCCGGAGATAAAAACCTCACAAGAAGCATGTCATATATCAAACCTCTAAACGGAAGTATAGGACCTAAACAAACCAAATGTCATATAATCGACGAAACTGAACATTTGGATTTTGATGATTTCGTGACTATGGTAACTACCACAAGAACGCCAGACGTACCATCCGGAGGAGTTTTCAGTGTCAAGACTAGGACTTGTTTGATGTGGGCTGGAGCTGGTTCGACAAGGGTCGTCGTTAGTACTTGTGTTGAATGGACTGGGAAGAGTTGGGTAAAAGGTTAGTGAAGTTCTTAAGTCTTATCTCCTCTTGCGATATCCCGATCCATCTCACGATCGTTCACTATGACTCGTTGTGACTTCATGTCAACGTTTCGTTTTTCCTCGAAGTTTCTTCACATTTCACACACTCGCCTGATGTCCATCCCAACAAGTGTCTCTTTTCTTTCAAAACTTCCCTCGTCTCACTGTCACGGTGGATAGAAGGGGGGGAAAGAGGAAAGAGGGAAAATCAATCACGCTAATAATCAGGGATCATTGAAAAATCCGCTATAGAAGGTCAAAAAACATATCATTCAGATTTATCACAAGGAATGAGACAATACATTTCCGCACATCCTACTGAATTCTTAGTAGATGGTGTCGATCCTTCTTCTTCACTTTCCACAGATCCTGATATCAATCAAACGCAATCAAAATCACATTCCCCATCATCACATAACCAACTTCATTCGAATTCTTTTGAAAAAGGTGAAATACAAAAATCAGAAGCTGAAGAATACGCAGCAAGAACAAGAAGAGAAAGACATGAAAAAGATTACGCTTATTTACAAGGAGCGTTTGATTCTTTCTTATCTGGGTTGGGATCACTTTTTTCAGCTTTATATCAAGGTTATCAAGCTGTTTCCGATATGTTATCAGATTTACTTCCTTCCGTATGGAGCAAACAAGGTTTTTTAATGATAGTCATTGTTTTATTGGTAATTTCGAATTTGTATACTTATAAAGGATATAAATCTGTTGAGAAAGTTGAAGAGAGAAGAATGAGGAGAGAGAATAGGAATACTGAAATGGAGTTGGCAAGAGCTATGAGGATGATTTTGGCTGGGGGTGGTGGTAGATTGGGTGGATTAGATGGAATGGGTGGAACGAGTGAAGATGATACGTCGTCTGGGATCACAGGATTGGACGGGAGAGATGATATGGGAGGTGAGGGTGGGAGTATCAGTAAGAGAAAAGGAACGGTAAAAGAGGAAACGGAATATTTAATAAAAGTTTTGGATAACGTTGAAAGTAGAGTTGAAAAATTGAGAAAAGAGTTGAAGAGTGAAAGTTTAGATTGAGGAGTCATGTTATCATTTACAACGTTTTGTTTCTTTGTCTTCCATCCTTTAAGCTAACTTTCATCCTCAGATTTAAGATTCAGTCTTTTTTATCAAAACATCAAGCAAGGTTATCCTCAAATCAAATTTACTTGACAGACGATCTTTTATTTCTCTGTCGTTGGAAAACTAACCGGTACAGGGATTTTCGATATTATCTATCACCTTCTTGATGTCAGATCATCACCGTTATAAGGATGAACGTTTTGAAATTGATTCATCTTTTCTTCATTCCTTTAACTCTTTAAAGTACGATTCTGCGATTCATTTCATATCATATGTTATTCCATATTCTCATCTCTTCTACATTTCTCACAATGTGTATGTTTTCCTCAAGGACGATAACGACAAAGAGAGAGAGAGAGAGAGAGAGAGAAAGAATCACCAAACTTTCTTCAAACCTTTTTCCTCTTCAGTCCCGAAAATATCAACGGGCCAAGGTGGGTTATATTTAGCTGGAATGTTACCTCTGACGGAATTGGAATGACCTATTGCTGATATCTCTTCGAATTCTTGGTCGGAAAGAGTGAAATCTTCAAAGTTTGCCTGAATGTTAATCGTCATTCCATCTCGTCACCGCTCAGATGAACGAGGTTTGAGGAAGGTCTTGGTTGTTTTATTGGATTACTGGTTTTGAGAATGTGAAGATGAATGAGACATTGTGATAGGAATGACCCCTTTGTTCAAGGATCAGTATGAAAGTTGGTGGTTGATTGGGAGACGATGTGTGGATCGAAAGCTGTGTCTTTTTGATATTGGACGAAATTGGAAAGAAAAACCCTTTGAATTCCAGTTGGATGAAGGAGGAAGAAGAGATGTTTATGAATCATCGATGTAAAATGGGGAAAGGGGAAAGATGAATGAACACCGGTAGGTGATGTGGTAGTTTGTAACGATTTGAGGAAAAGATACAAAAGCACAGAACTGACCTTGATACGACTAGGTGTTACAGATTTAGGAATAACACAGAAACCTTGATGAGCACACCAAGCGATACAAACTGAACAGGTTGTTTCGATTTTTTCAGACAATTGACGATTTGAGGAAGATCAGAAATCCCGTGGTTTGTTGGTATGTTGTTCCGGAAGAAGAATAGGCCGTGATGACGATACCTTTTTTCTTACTAATAGTCAACTTTTCATCTCTGGGTGATCCTTTTCACACAACTACTTCGATTTTCATGAAAATCGAAACTGCCCTGAGAGAGAAGTTGACAAAACTTATCACGTCTATGAAACTAACTCGCAATCTCAGGAAATGGTGAATGTGGTATTACTCTGAGTGAGGAGGTACTTGACGCTAATTAGACAATGAGGATGGATATGAGTTGACCAGAGGGAATAAGGGATTGAGGGAGAGTTGAAAATCGTTGTGATTCAAGTAAGGGGAAATATGTAAAAGAGTCATGGGAGAGGTTCGATGGGGGAGGGGGGGATGGTTGATTGACAAAAGAGTATACTGTAAACTCACAATATTCAAATAATTCAGGTTGAGGTAAACCAGGATGACATTCAATTTGGTTCATAGCTGGAATCACACCAGTAGCATCTATGATTTTTTCCAATTGTTCAACTGTGAAATTGCTAACACCGATAGCTCTAACCTTTTTAGTTTCTTGAAAGATTCTAACTAATTCTTTCCATGTGGCAACTATACCAGGAGCGTCATGATCGATATGACGAACGGTGGGGTTTGATCCTGGTTCGATGGGTTGAAGGGTTTTACCAGCTGCGAATGTTACTGGCCAGTGAATGAGGTAACAATCTAGATAAGGTGTGTCTAGTTGAGATAAGGTAAGATCGAGGTCTGCTTCTACGTCACTGGGACGAGCGGAGTTGCACCATAGCTGAGGTCAGATGGTGTGTTCGTGAACAGGTCAGAGCGTGTTTTACACGGCCGCGGGGGGGGGGGGGGGGGGGGGGGGGGGGGAAGTCAAAATAGATAGGGCGTCCAGACACGGTGCGTTGAGATTGAACAGGAATCAAGACGACTATCGACAATCAGGACAACTGACAAGACTGACAGTGACCATGGTGACCATGGTATGGAGCGACGAACAAGAAGATGAAGAAGAGGGAGATGTCTAGTGTTGTTCCTGATTAGGGACGAAGGATATTAATAGCTATCGACGACAGGCAAATGACACTAAAAGGGTACCCCTTCATCCCTCATCTCTCGGGTCATCATAATAATCCTACATCAGACTTGTGCAGCATGGGGGGCTGGAGTCTGCTTCATCCTAACTTCCCTATCCCATCCTCGGCCCCAAGGCACACCGCCTCTCAATCGG